ACTTTTAAAATTTGATATTACATAGTAATCTTGTAGGCAAATTGTTATTTAACCTGCCCTTCTTTTCGTATTGAAATTCATACGACGCTATGGTTTGTCCGTAGACTAGTCTGCCAAAATAGTTTACCAGTAATACATAGGATTATAAAGAAGTTACGGTTATCTTACTGTAATGATAGGACGCTACTCATAAGTATTAATAAAAAGCAAAAAACAGAGCAGCCATAATTTTGAGCACTACGAATTCGTTACTTAAGCACACATATCGAGTAGAATGTCTTTAATGGGATGTAAACCAGTAATTCTTCAACTTTTAGTGCCAAGGGCTTCACTGTCCAAGCTACCCAACATTTTATTCTAGGAACTACTCACAAACGCTGGCCAATTCTGATGAAAATCAAGTGTATGGCTTCTCTGTAATAGTTCCAGCTGGCCTTAAATCAAACTATTACAAATAACTGGTATTTGTTCTACTGATCTAAAGTTAATATACGAAGATTAGCTTCTGATCGTCGACACCAATGCACATCACGATATTAGGATCAAATTCCGTAAATTGTATATATGGGAAGTGTTTCTACGCCTTAACATAAAATGTAAAAGCTAAAATGATCCTGGTGATTTTTTAGGGAACGTTACCCGATATTTTGCTAAGCCAGAATATTGGCCATTGAAACCACCAAACAGTGAAAGGACAATGCCGAAACCATTGGAGTAAGGTATCATAACACAAAGCAGCCTAATACAAAATCAAGACAAATCGTCTGTAGAAGAGAATCAACATTTCTCTCTAGTTTTTTTTTTGCCTAGCAGTCCTCGAAACGACCGTGACCCCTTATATTTACGCTTTTCTTATTGAAGGTAGTGCTCTTCCCGGCTTAATATCGATTTGACTAAGATTATTTAACCTGTTTACGGAAGCCGTAGGTTTTTAGATGGCGAGAGAAGCTTTCACTGGAAAAATACGTTTGACGTACACGAATAGATAAAACGAAATAGATAATCATATTCATTTCGAGGTTTTTAAAGGGTAAAGGTAGAGGATGTTAGGTGATTGTTCCCTGGCCCTTTTAGAAGTACTTTAGATGACTACGTTGATGACCTTCTCTCAAATGTCGACTGTACTGAAATGTCCTCGGCAGTGGCAATGCCACATATGACAAGATGCTCTCCCTGCGGAATGTAATACCGAAAAATGGCTTGGATGTCCCTTTACTACCATTGCGATAATGATTACACTTCCCAGATCGTTTATGCTGCATGTGATATAGGTCAGATATTGACCAATTTTTGGTATTGTTTGGCTAGATATCTATCATATATAAATACTACCTTGTTTTCTTCTAGAAAACGTGAACCTGTGTACGCTTGTACAAATCACTAGTATTTCACAATCAAAATACAAAAAAAAGAAACAAATCAAAATCACAAAACAAATAGTATTATACTGCTGAGCAATGTAGGAGCTTCATTGATAACTGTTTAAAAATTTTTCTTTCTAAAAGAATTTAAATTTTTCTTTCTAAAAGAATTACGGTAAACACCTTCTCTAAAGAGGAATGCCGTTGGGGTTTTCAAGAATTTATCTAATCTACTTAACTGGAACGAGCTGGTTTCATATCGCATTACTTTATGTACATATAAATAGAATGCTGCAATTAATCAAGGGCAAGTGACAGAGGTGTTGCTTTGAAGCATATTGTTTGTTTCCCAAGTCTTTGGACACGTAATGCTTTGCACACGTACTTCAAACTATAAAAGAAAAACGCAACAAGCCTTTTTGGCGTGCTAAGTCATATCTACTGTGATACATAAAAAGGTAAACAATTCTCTTTTGATTCAGTTTGGTACTATGCAGGTCTAAGTCCGTTCTAAGGGTATGCTAAACGGTCCCTGAGCCATGTCCGAGAGATTCATTTGTTCTTCGGTTTAGCAACGGAGCTTCACAATTAACGATCCATCAGAATTTCAGTAAATATGATGAGTTTCAATCGATTCATTTGTCTCGTCGAAGTTCAACCACCTGTCAAACTTGAAGGAGCAAGAATAGTTTTATTCTTGCTTAAACTTACCTACATATTTCAAATATTGATTCTCAGTATCGAAAATGGTTGATCGAGGTTTTGCCCAGTGTACGAACTAATGCCAGAAAACCTTACCCGGACACATTTTATTTCGAGCGGCAGTAACTGAATTTATATGGCCAAGTATTTAAATACATTGCCTCGTAACAATTCCGATCGACACCTCTTTTGTCGTGCAGTCACGCATCAAGATCCTCTGTACAGCGTATGTGGTTTAGGGTGATTGGCTGGATTGGGCCCTTACTATCGGGAGATTCTATTCAAAGTAAACATTTTTCTTTAAAATAGAAATATTTTACGGTAAAAGAAAAACTGATACCGCTTTTGCTTGGCATAAGAGTGTTTTTTCTGTTTGGTTGTCCGAGGCAGTGGCCTTTTTTAGATGGGTGACGTCCAACTATTTGCCCTTGGTCTGGGTCAAACATATAATCGAGATTTATCTAGTAGCCTCTGTATACTATATTCTTTGATAGCGTTGAATAGTATGTCCACCATGTAGTGTGCAGAAGGCAACAATAATTCCAAGCGGCTTTTGTGCATTTAGCTTTACGGCGTATTATCCTATTCAGATAATTCTGATATGGGCGAATATTATTTGGAGAAGTCTTTACATAAATTTTAAAATTCGTAAATAGTAGGAATACATCTGTATATAGTATACATCTGTCTCGTCCAAAGCTCGCAGAGCTTCTGTAAAACCAGATGAAAAGACTCCTCTCAAGTCTCAACATATTGTCCATGGTGTTTGCTGTAGCTTATTCCAAAGTCACCTGGTTTTTAAACCGTCTCACGCTGAGCAGAGATTTATAATCTAAATAAGAGCTCATATTTTGTACTCTCGCCCTCTCTCTCTCTCTCTCTCTCTCTCTCTCTCTCTCTCTCTATATATATATATATATGCTTTATTCGCTTTTTTGACTGAGATTGAAGCACAGACAGATATATACACATAGCAAGGCAAAAATCACTTAACATATTTGTATTACATGTATATTTTATCCATTATATAGATGAAAAATTTAAAGTATCATGCGGTTTTTTGCAAACGAGGATTCTAAGATTTTTGGTAGTTTGAATATGGATAGTGGAAATTTATCTTAAACAAACGAGTCATGCCATATAATGGCTATAGAAGACGCTGACTTCGCCATGCAAACGAACGCATTCTATTTTAGATCATAATACAATAATGTAGATATTAAAAAACATATGTTTAATTGAACAACGTACTTAACTTGCAACAGTGCTTAAAAAGTGCTCAACTTGAACTTGAAAAAAAAAGTAGCACCAAGGGGGAAAGTGACTGCTGTATAACTCGTGGATGAACATATTTCAAACAGGATACAATTACTTGATCATTGTTTATATAGCATCTTTTTTTTATCCCTATTACGCATTTCTTATTGGCTATATTTGTAGAGTTGCTGGCTCATTTTGTTCGATCTTAGCAAAGATCGGCAAAATTAGTTAAAATTATTATTTTAACTAATCTTGCCTAAAGATTTGTATAAAAAATATAGTACGAACGAGAATACTTCTACTGCTTAGCCCCCTTCTAGTTGGCTATGCTCTGAAAATGTTGACTAGATTCAAAATTAAAGTTATTTTTTTACGATATTTTCGAAATACATTTATAGAATCACTATCTATAAATGACCTTTCTCACCTTTGTTTTGACGGAAATTGATCCTTTAATTATGGACCTTTAAACGTCATCAGATCGAGTACATCGTAAAGATAACTTCCTGGTGAGGTTGACGAGATGCCAACCAATATTTATAGCTATATCGTAGTCCTTGCGTCAGAGGCTGAGATAATTAGGCTGCTGAGTTATATATTCTTTGTCAGAGGCAGCCAAGGTACAGTAATACTATGACGTACTGCAAATGTTCGAAACTTGAAACATAATAGGCCGCCTCTCAGCTGGCCTGTTTCCGTAGTATCAGAGTTTCCAAAATCTATTCAAGGAAGCTATCCACATAAGCAATTAAGATTATGTATATATATACACGTACAAGTTATACAACTTTGTCGTATAACTTCACGTGTATAAAGTTCCATCAGGTATTTTATTCCCAACTTCATCTTCGCCTTAACAACTCTGATGCAAACATAGCGGTATAACCTTCGTGTAAACTCGTACAACTACCGAACATTAGGTTTGGCTTTTTTTCTCTCTTGCGACTTTTTATTTTTTACTTCGTAATTACTTCGTCCTTTACATGTACAGCTCTGGTGGTAATTAAAGTTGTTATACCACTATGTCTACTTTTAATTAAACAAAAAAAAAAGTGACATTGGACACGATACTGGTACTACCTTTCTATTTAAAGTTTATTCAATTAACGGCAATTCGTTAAAAATAGATCAGCGTTACCCGATGAAGTGCGACGCCTAAAGCAGGTTGCGTATATTTACAATGAACAAGTGAACTATCACCGCCTACGGTGATAACGATTTTTTAATGTAACCTATACAACACCAGCAACAAATAATTCTTTATTTATTCTACAAATGTTATTATGTGACAGATAAAACCGTAGCCCCGCATATACTTTTAATGTCTGCAAATACACTACTTATCATAAATAGTAAAATATTGAATGTCTGTTAGCCTTGTTGTTTTTAGAGGAATAAACCAGTCGAAATGAAGCATGTATAGGTATACAACAATCGCTCCGAGAATTGCGGGTTGTTTGAAGTTCTGCTCTACCAGCTAATGCATATAATACGGCCAATAGACAAGATTGAAGATTCCAAACATTAGGGGAAAGCCAAGCCGAGAGACACGGTCTACCCCTTTCGCTGTCCGTCGAAAGAACCGCTCAGCCTCTTTCGCCGACGCCAACTGCCGGACCCGCGATCGGTCAATACGCTGCTCCATCTGCAATGTAAACACACTGATACCGTGTTTTTTTTATAGTCATAGATGGAATATCATCAGATTTAATCTATCTTATATAGTTTCAAGCTTACAAATAAATACTTCGAGCATTGCTTTAGAGGGCTAGTCGCGTCCGCTTTCTAACCTAGTTTATCTCACGCTTCTTTAGGCGTAAAAGGCGTATACGTTAGCACTGTACCATTACGAGAACGATAATGATTGCTTTGAAATTAAAATAATATGGATGTTATCGCAATTTGCATTTATACAAATAACAGCGTCTCTGGTTGACAGGTAGATACCGCTGGTTCTTTTTCGTGCTACGCGCTCCATATGGACAATTGAACAAAATTACAAAGATATCGGCAATGAAGAAATTGCATACTGTTACTAAACGATTGATAACAAATACGAAGCTGGTGTGCAAATTATATGTGAAACGGTAAATGCGTTTGTACTTCGCCATTAATCGTTACTTGCGGTAGCTCGTGGGGTCCTTATGCAGAGAGGTCTGTAACGCAACGCTACGGCAATAATAACAATGCCAGATAACGATACATATCGTATTTACGCGAGGAAAAATATGTACTAATTCCAAATAAATTTCCAAGCTGTTGATGGATCTGCAAAATCCTAATACGAGTTATTTTGCCTTTTTCAGAGTTTCAGTAAATAACCTTCATGTGGATATGTCACATAAACACACCGCTAATATGCTGTATAATTTCGCCTGACTCAAGGGACAACATGAGAATCGTATTGTATTGTACAGGCATATTATATAATCGACGTAGCTCATCAGATAACCTAATTCAGGTACTGTTCTGTGTGTCGTAGAACGCATAGCTTTCCTCGTTTCTCCTGTTGCTTGCGGCTAGGTTGTGTTCGCGTCCTTAACCCTAGAAAGCAGGTACGTGTAGCAAATTAGGGAAGTGCGTTAAATTATCCTCTGATATTTTTCGACGGGGTCAAAACACGGGACGAACAAACGAAAACGTTTAAGGTGGGCGACTAAAGGATCTGTAACTTGTACGGTTATAGTTTAATTGAACATGTGTATGAATGTAAGCAGAGCTGATTTGCTTGAGGCCTGTAAGCGTTTTCCTAGAAATAAGGTCATTTACACAAATTTTGACGCGAGGTAGACCTAAAGAATGAATTGATACTATTTTAATTCACTGGCGTGACAAATGTACCAACTGATAGAAATGACACATTGCAGCTATTGTCAGTTTTTATATTTGCAGTCGTAGTAAACAAAGAAGCGGGAGTGATGGATACATAATTCAGTAAATCTATCGTTAGCTGTCTTCTTTGTCGAACAAGCGGAAATTAAAAATCAAATTGCGAATAGTACATCAGCAATTCCACATATTATTAGTAGCGCGATCAATAGAAGTATACCGATTTTTCGTCTTCCGATTTATTTCGAAAAATGAAAATGAGCGTTATCCGTATGTTGGCGGGCATCTTTTAAACTTTGGAACTTCGTCACTTGTATACCCTTAAATCCTAATAATACCGAAACGATGCATGGGATAGCCCAACGGGAGATGAATAATAACAACATAAACAAAGAAAGAGGTAACATTAGCTTTCGGTAATAGCAAAATAAATGTAATTAACAATATTTCAAATTCGTAATTCGATAATGAGTCGTGATTTTCGGTTGAACAAGCATCGAACATTGAGAACGCTGTCTTTGAACATTCTGAGACAGATCCTAACATGGCAAACTGAGTGTACTTAACGGGATGCAAACAGTTCGTCAAAAGACGGTCGAAGCTTTAGCAGGTGACTCCACGCTGGACTACCTGCGCGTATATCAGAGTTCGAAGGCTTGCATAAACGCAACTCGCGTCAATCATTCGATTTCTAGCTAGTCCATTTTAAAACGTACTTTTTGCAATGGTATTGCATCTGGCTAATGATACGCGTAAAGCTAACACCTAAAATCTGATGGTTTACGTTTAAAAGATCTGCCAAACTCCCATCGGACAGTGGCGTGCCGTTTGCAGATCATCCCTAATCCTCTAAAGCAGACTCCATGGATGGGGCTCGTCGGTAGCGATGAACCAGCTAAGACGGGTGGTTTGCAAGGCAGCTCCGGAGGCGTTAGTTACAATGCTAGCTATTTACCAATTTGAAATACTACAGTTTGTTTAATTATATCGAATAAAAACACTTCGAGTGCTGATGTGTTGGTTTCAGTTAAATATTTTCTACGCTACTACAGCTGTTCCGGTTGCCCCAAGCTATCCCCCTGTTTTTCCCCATAGTAATACATATGTAATTAGATCAGGGAGATTGGTGCGGGGATGAAAAGCGATAGGCTGATCATCACAGGCAAAACAGGGGTACGCTAATAGCTATATGGACGTAAATATAAACGCAAATGGTTAAAGAACTCTTAAATTAATTTTAAAAATAATAGTATTTATTATCATTTTTTATGTAAATAAAAATTAAATCCAAAAAAAAATGGTTAAAAAACGCGAACATCTTAATGCGTCCCGATGCACACTCGTGTCTCTGATGTTGTGACTCTTACTGGTGAAAGCTCTAAGAGATATTCGTTTGCCCTATTTGCTCTTTAGCGTATTTGCCGGCCTTTTCTTGCCTAACGACATCATATAGATGTCGGTAACACGCGAGCCCTGTTCTGGGCCTTATCGCCTTCCAGATACCCTTCAAACATAACTCAGTAATTTTCTTAGTCAGCTTTCAGGTGAACCGTAGCCAATATGTACATAATGTACAATACATTCCAACGACAACAACATAATATAGACGTATACTCAAGACCTTTTCCAATATTCAGCGTAATTTCTCCGGGTGTCCTATTGTTGTATAATAAACTATTTGTTAACAAAAAAAGAAAAACAACAATAGCTCGATTTGTTTATCCAGCAGTACAGACAAACGGTACACTTGAGGTTATCACATTTTTCGTTACATTTATTATGCCAGGCTACAGTATGAATTACGTATTTGACCTGTCGTTTTTGTACTTTCCGATCTGCAGATGATGGTACTTTTACTGCTGCTGGGAAATAATCTTACACAGCAATCTAAATGTCAACTACAATTGCTTCGCCGGCAGATGCCTAAAGCTAATATGATAGTAAGTTAAGATGATAATAAGTTAGTCAGACACAAGGAGCCGAACGAGCAAATTACTACAAACCCATATGCGTTTATTATGCCAGATTGCTACTTATTTCATTTGTTATTTTTGTAAAATTTGGTCAAATATTATGTTTACTGCGAGCACTAAAAGTACAACAGGATACAGAAATACGCTTGCTTTCCACGTCGTGTGTCTTTAAACTCGGTGTTACAGCCGTTCTACTTAAAGGCCTGAATTACTAGTCATGTTATGTACGACAAAACATTTGCACATTTGGATAAGAACCAATCCAGGAAGGAACTATTCTAGCAAAAATTGTGGCTCTCACGGCTAGTGTCAATAATAGAGTCCCGCTTTATGATATAACAAGTCTTCGGAAAGAAGTAGTTAGCAGAGGATAAGGTAAGTTGCAATTCACCTCTGCTGCTGACCTCGTTCAGAGGTACTTTAGGCCATAATCTTGACAGCCTTGATCTTACCTACGAATTTGTGTGAAATGAAGTTACTAACTAATGATTCAAACGAAAGCACTTACTTTCGCGAAACAGCACAAGCTGTTTCCTCTTTGTTAGGTAGCCTTCTGACAAATAGTTGTAATAAGCGTCGAATATATGCCGATTTTTCTTTTGTAGTTGTCCATTAAAATGGTTCTAACACTCACCGTGAAATGTGCAACGTCATCGGGCACGATGGGTGAAGGTCGTTCCTCTCGACTTCGCAATCGCGCCAAATAGCTCACCGCCGTAAATTCAAGTAAAGCACAGAATACGAACATTGTACAGGCTGCCATCCAGATATCTAGTGCCTTCACGTATGAGACTGGCGCCAAGGCAGCCTAAAATGCATGCAAAAAGGACAGCCTAAATAGCCTGTATAAAGGGCAGCCTAAATAACCTGTAAAAAGGACAACCTAAATAGCCTGGTCTTCTACTAAGCCGCTGCGGAAATGACGCGCATATAATCATGCTGAAGAGAAGGATAGCCTTTGATGACCAATTATTTTTACTCCCTCAATATGGGAAAAGGTTTACCAAGCCCCTTTACGAAATCTGCCTTCCGCAGTGGATCACGCTGTATCCATAAAACATAAGTTCAACGGCTACGCCGTAACGACCAACACTACTTTGTTGTTACCTTCTTGACTTAAAAGGCGATATATTCTAGTCACCTATCGAGGTTAGCGAAAGGCCAACTGATGTTTTTGATCTGTTTGCTTGTTTGTTTCTTTGCCAGCTTGTGTGAATTATATAAACATACCTGTTTATCCGTGCTTTCAGCAGAGATGGTTAGAAGGGTGGTGACGCCGAGGGTGACTCTAGCGGGAATAGCGTCCACATCGAGCCAGAATGAAACCCAGGAGATGACCACGATAAGTAACGAAGGTAAGTAAGACTGCACCAGATGATGTCCGAAAGCTCGTCGGAGTGATAATCGCACGGAAAGGCAGGAACGCTCTGCAAATGGGGACCGATCCTAAATCAGCTTAGACGACATTAGTCAACAAAGAAATTACCATTACATCCGCCCTTTGCTCCTAAACGCGTATTATTATTAAAATGGATAATGCTTTCTGTATACTTATATGTATCCCAAGCAACTTACGAGATTAAATTTAAAAAAATACAATAAAAAGAACGAATTTTCAAGGTGCATTTTGCTAGCTTTAGATCCAAAAGAAAGAGGCAAATAGTGTTGAGCAACAAGATCAGATAAAGTCGCTGATCAGCAGATCTGAATAAATAGTTCAATGTGCGCCATTGTGTTCCTATTATAGCCTTTTTGTCATTTGTCCATTGGGTTACAAGTAGTCGTAATCTTATTGCACTATTAAAACCGTCAGCTAAATATCTAGAGGTTGCTTTTTTTGGAAATACACAAAACATGTTGATGGGATTTGTTAAAGAAGCGTACGCATACTGATACTTTATCAGATGGTGTCAAACTTATATATTATTGATTATTTCAACACGCAATTACATCCGGACGTATCTGCTCATAAAATAAAAATATCCGGTTAGAAAGAAATGACACGTTGCGGAGCGGCCAATGGTGCTCCATAATCATTTAAGACGTTCTCAATATGTCCCTAGCCAATTAGCCAATTATTTAAGTATACGTGTAGCGACTTCAATAGCTTCTTTGTCTTATTAAGTTAAACAGAAAATAGCTTTTCATAATGTTTGAGTGGACATCATGTGATCTTGGCGAAAAGTTGGTAGAAAATCATGCAAGTAGACAAGTATAGGAAACACAAAGGCTTAGCCATGTGTGGAAATGGATAGATCTGTAGAATACTTGGTGTTCCTCGGTCTTGTGTACCATTCAGTAGAGCTGCCCTATAGTCCAGCTGTGCTTCCTTACGTAATGAACAAAATGTCGTTCCAAAGTTGCCCCAAACATGGATATTTCCAATGAAAAAGGTGTATTTTTGACACCTAACTTATTTCGCTCCGAGAACAAAAATCTATCAGAGTAGCTCAGAATGTCTCTGTGATCTACTACGACGATCTTAGAAGTAAGAGGACTGTTTGAAGGGGGTTTGCTGTGTCCAAATATAGATTTTGGATTTAAAAGAATTATCCAATTACTCAAAGCTGAGATGACCGCGAAAACGGACTCCAGACACTTCACTGTCGTCAGACATCTTGAATCTATTAAATTTTATAAAAGAATTTAGGGATACAGGTGCCTCATAAACTGAGTAAAAACATAAAGAGGCATGGCTTCTTTATGCTTCGCGACATCTCATCCGACATTGAGCATCATGCCGCCACAATGGATGATTTTAGAAAATTACCACGTGTGACGAAAAGTTTCTTTTACCAGTATGAAGCAGAAAAAGTAGGGAATAGGGAATAAAAAAAAAGGAAGGAAGTACGACTAAGCCCAAGGTAAAATCAGATCACTATTCAAAAACGACCATTATTTGCGTCTGGTTACATTGGAAGGGTTTTACACGTTGGATAACGTCTGAAAAAACAAGCTTATTAACACAGATCTGTATAAGACCCACTTGCATTAAATGAATAAGGCTGCACCACAGGAAACATAGATGATAATTGTTGTCCAAGTGGATACTAAGCTACATAAGGCTACGGTTGTTAAAGCTGCCCTGTAAAAGTTTTTGTGGGAGATTGGGCCGTCCCAGTTATGTTCTCCGTTCCTTAGGCAAAATGGTTATTCCTTTTCTAGTCATTGACAAATTCAATTTAAGGAAATTCACTTTCATAATGAAAATAGTTTCGAGAACAGGTTTATTAAGGTTTTCAACATCGCATCCAAAAATATCTAGCAGAACAGAGTAGATAAATGACTAAGAAGCGACAAATGGTCATAGACAGTAACATGAAACACACAAGTTGATTAAAACGCTGACCCTCCCCTGACATTTCCGAGAAAAAATCAGTCTCAGAATGTTTATAAAATAAATTAAAGTGGTGCTCAGAATCTGACAACCTACGGATTTTCCAAAATGTTGGTTTCCACATTTAGACGGCTTAGTGATTGCTACAAATACATGAACAACCACATTGAATAACATGCTCTCATTATACACCACGCTACAGATCAACAAGTCATAACGGAGCTAGGTGATACATTACAAGCTTTAAATTGTTTACTAGTACCGCATGCAAAATCATTCCAGAGCTATAAATATGACTTCGAAGAGAGACGTATTGATGCGTCTCGCTTTTTATATTGTGATGACGCACGCTTCCACCGCGGACGGCTGTTGCTTTCCCATTGCAAGTAATCTTCGCGTCAGTTTGCTTACACCAAAGGTAACTAACTTCCGTAAATAGATGGTTGTTTTATAGTACATAAATAATCTAGCTCAGAAATTCTTAATTTTTATATTTTATTTATATTTAGCGTCCTTCCGTTGTTCTTACTTAGCCCTACCAAAATCTAATGCCGGTTTCAGTAACGCAAGCAACAGCAAAAACGAGAACTATTTAGGAAATTACGATAACGATTGCGACAAATATCGCGTCTTTTTCAAATGGAAAAGATTTAACTTTATCTGTCTGCTCCCATGTGTCTCTTTGCTACTAAAAGCCGTTACGGGGAACAACGACGCAGACACATGAACGTAAAAAACGTTATTTCAGCTCCATCTTCTTCTTCGTCTGCTTCGACCGCCTTTCGATCTTACCACGAACCAGCAACGCTATCAGGTCGTTATTTCTGTACACTTGATCGTTCTTGCTGGTGCCCTTTACGTGTCGGTCCATCTGGCTTTTCCCTGACTTCAGCCTTTAATCCGCTTCATATCACGCCCTGTCCGTGTCGCAGCATAACGACACAAATACAGCTCCCTTTCCATCAACCCATCATGCCTTTATCCACTTACCACGCACGAGAACAACGGCTTTTCCGATACAATCTCTGGGAACCAACCCGAACAAGGGCTTAATAGCTCCACGTAGCAATTCTTTCAGTTACAGGCGACCCGAATCGTAAAAACACCGAGATGGCAGCAGTAGGATCTCGTAATCTTGTAATCTGCCGCCAAAGATCCTCCATGGCAAAAGAGGATGCATAAGCCTAAAACTTTCAGGACGGTCCCTTGCTTTTTTGTTTTGGCACGGTGTAGCATTTTTTTTTTCTTTTTATAAGCGATTTTTGTAAAATATGAAAAGCAGACTCTGGCTTGATGATGTAGAACGTGTAGACGTCTTTATTGCCACACGCAACAGCCCAGAACCCAATGCAGAGTTGTTTGCATCGAGATCTTGTGAATACGAACTACGTTTTCTTTATATTGCGGTGTTGCCTATAGAGGAGTGGAGACAGTACTTATAAATGTGCCGCGTAAACAGATGCTTGCCTTAACATTTAACGCGAGCCATATCCTTGTGTTTTTTTCGACGCATATTCAAAAGTTAATAAATTAAGTTAGATTGTATGAACTGTATTGTGATATATAAACATGTTCAGCATACGAAGCATAGTATAACATAAAGGGAACATCTATCAGGTCATTACCACCAACTTTCATATCAAAATCTTTTTGAAATATAATTTGCAGCATGTACTGGTATTAGTAATAAAGGCAAAGAATGTATGAAAAGAAGTAATTTATCACCTGCCTTATACCTCAGGCCCTCTAAGCAAACGAGCTTAAAGCAATAAAACAGCAAAAAAATTTCCCGGCATAAACATCTTCAAAGATCATCTGTGCGTCTTTTGTCATAGTGGAACCGTTTCTCAAGTTTTCGTAAATTGTACGACATGCCCGAAAGTTCCGATTTATGTTATCAGTATCCTTTTGTATATCTATTTAACCCGTTAACTTTACATAGGAAATTCTTTGGATTAGCTTTTGGTTTCTCTTTAAACAAACACAATGGCTTACAACGGCATAGAATTGTACGTACACTCTTAACCGACAAACGACCCATCAGAATCTCGCATAGAACGCGTGCGACGTAGACGTGGACCTTCCTCGATTCCCTTTTTGACAAATTGGTGACAATTTTTTATAGCGAAATTTTTCAAAATTGCCCGTCATTAGCTGACAGTGTCTAATAGAAAATGAATATGAAGAATATGCAGTCAGAGTAGAAGCAAAATACATTGTCATTGGCTGATAAGGAAGTCTTTTAAAAAGTTCATATATGGAAAACGACGGGGTACATAAAATATAAGGATAAAGGATGAAAATATGAATCCTTTTGTCTAACATTTAGCAGTTACAGCAGAATTATAGAAATTGTCCCGTTTTCCTTTATTGGCTCAATTGTCTGCTGCGTCGGCCGATTTGTTCGTTGTGTCGGTTCGAAACTCTAATACAACTTAGCCTTGTCTAAGAATAAAACTCAGGTTCCTATCTCATAGGCAAACGAACAGCAATGAATAGAAGCTACATGTCTTCGTGCACGTACATATGTATATTGCTCTACAATGCATCTAGCAGCTATTTGTTAAATTACGCAAACAATTTTACGTAGGATAAGCCTTCGTGAAGGCATGTTTGTTTATCTGTCTCTAGCTTTTTTTCTAATTATCGTTCATTGTACCTACCATGCTCTGGCGCATTATGGAGCAGCGTTGTCGTTCGGACGCATGCGTCTAGGTACTGCGCATGCTCAAGTTTAAAATTCGCCATCCGGATGCCATGGTTAAAACTTAAAGGCTTCGTATCGTTCCAGCGAAGAAGAACGTCATTTTTGGTGCGAGCAACTGAAATATAGGACAACGAGACAATAACCAGGACTTTTGTATGTCTTGTGCTGGTTTTGTTTCACGCTACGCGACCATAAATCCTCGGCCTCGGGATATTGTACTTCGGAGCACTGAATCCCATGCAGTCCACCAAATTATTTCTAGTGAGTGAATTATTCCATTGCAACGTTGCTAAACATGATGTCAAAGTCGACGGAAAATTCTCGAAGTATCATCGGTGGTAAGTTAAATCGTGCTAACGGTTCATAGATCCAACGTATTACTTTGCGAATTAGCTGCAAACAAGTAAAGCAATATGGTTTCGCTTACTTAGCTTATCAAAATACATATATAACCGCACCTTGATGTTAGCGGATTTGAAAGGCTCGTATCTGTTACTCGCACTACTTTCGAAAACAATAAACACTTGTGGAGCAGAAGTCGAACAATCACTAACGTGCCGGCTGTCACCCAATTATAAAAACATCGATTTTTTAGGGATATATATGATTCGTCTCTGGCATATTTGTTGACTTATCTATTCCCTGTTTAGTAACGTCGACAGATGGTGGTTTAGTGTTAGACGAAATCAACTCCGCTAACATGACGGGCTGCAGTTCTTTTCAAGAGCGAGACTGGAAAGGATATTACGTCGCATTTTATCTTGTTGCCAGGATAGCTTGTATTACTTGTGACGCAACGTTTAAAAAATTCCTATCTGAATCATTTAAACTATTTATTGTGCTTCGCTGCGTACGAGCTTTGAGGAAAATACGATTCTAGAATCAAACGATCGCCCTGGGGAACCAGTCTATGTTCAATTAAGATCTTGCTAAACTGGGTAAGTGGACAGCGTTCATCAGGTCTTTATTTGACTTGACAGTTACGTATCGTTGCAGATACACAAGCTCCGGCGGCGTTATCAACGTATTTTTGTTTGTTTCCTATCCTATAGGGTTCCAACTCATACGGACTACCAAATAGTTTCTGACTTCAGGGTATCTATCAGTAAAAAAAAACACTCAGCTAATTGACAACATTGGTACGATAACGGCTACTTTGGTTGTGAGGCAATTCGATGTATTTTTAGTCATATTTAGCTTTCCTAACCAGCAACAAATGGCTAGTAAATGGTAAACTAGAGCCACTAGAGACGAGCATTTCGCTACACGTATTGTTTTAGCCTCTATTTTTGCAAGAGTATGTAGGTTTTTTAATCGTACGAGAAACTAGGTTTGAGCTCTGTAGAGCTGTTTTCGGGCAAGAGGGAAATAAATATTTCACAACTCGCAAGTCAAGATGGTAAACAGCATCACTTTGTTTTCTTTATGCAAGTTCCTATCGGGAAGCAATTAGTAGAGAGGAAGCTGTAGTTGAGTGCCCGCTGCTTTTGGTTTTCGTGCTCTACACGCATTGAGAAAACGAGGCGCTGATTAAAAACTGGCGAAAGGTAATGCTAACAATATTGCTTTTAATAAGTAAAATTGTCACGCTATCTATATTGCAATGGTTTTCCTGTCGGTTTTACGAAAAACACTAGCCAATCGGTTGTGCCTGTGTGCGAATGAAAGTGACCAGCTTTTTTATTCCGTATGATGAAATGAATTATATTGCAGCCTTATTGGTATTCTACATATTAAACTGCTGCACTACACGATGGTTTCTAAGAAACTGATCGAATCCACTAAATTTGAAAATCGAAATGACTTACGCCAACGCTGAACGAACTATAATCAGGCAAAAATTATATGATTCTTTCGAGAACGGAACGATATTATTTGACTCGGCCAGCAAATGGGACCATTACCTATGCTCGCATAATGCGCAGTTCGTTCAAATAGTGGCGTTCGAATCGCTCTGTTTACTAACACCTTGATATACTTCGAAGTACTTCGAATCTGTTTTCAAAGCGCTAATATAAATTGAGACGTGAGCGCCACAATGAACTTAACTAAATATTATCGATGGATAATATCCTATTGCTTTCGTTAACTAATACGTTTTTATCGAAACTCTTAGATATGAGCAAAGCGCTAACGGTGTACATATTACGGTGGTACTATATGTCTGTTCGGATAGGAAATCGTATATTCAAAAACATGCCTAATCTAAAGAACGGTATGTGTGCTCCAGGAGCTGCTTCGTTGACCGCGTGAGCAAATACACAAGTTAATAGAGAGAAAGTATTAAATTTTCAATTTGACTTAACAACAAAGAACTATCATGATCGATAGAAATATGTATCGTATGTAAAATAGCGACAGTAATGTTTTAGACGACTACAGTCAGTTTTTCATTAAGAGTTTCCGAAAGCAAACGAGTATTCGTGTATGTGAAGTATGACATTTTACCTGAATAGATGTTAATGTTAGCGATTTAGCGTACGCAGGATGCTATGCTAAGCTTACGCAAATCTATAAGAGACTATGTGAAGGAAGCTTCGAACGATTGAAGATGACCTTTGATGACTTAGGAATCGAACCATAAAACTTCGAATTCTACCTTTACCAAGGCTCACTGAATATGTTTAATTATTTCAGTTATTCATATCAACTCACTGTGGGATTGCATTTTACCCAACGGGAACATTATCATACCTTTGTTCTCATTACACAAATTCAAAACTATGCGCGATGAATAGCGGGAAATTTCAGCACCATAGAAAAACAGCAAAAAATTTATTAATGCGCATTAGTTTAATTTTGTATTTTATAAATGTGTAAAAGAATAATAAAAAGCGCACAAAAAGAGAAAAAAAAAAGTGCTACCACCAACACAACCAGTATGAGTAAATAAAACTAGCACCTCTTTTGCTAGTATTCATTTACATAATAGATTTGGGGTTGTGGAAGACGGCTTGTAAAAGAATTTTGCTGTCCATACGGAGACAAGGTTTAATGCAACAATCTGTGAAGTATCCGCTAGTAGCTTGTTATATATCTAGCCTAATAGAAAAGGCTGAAACAAGGAACGTATTAAGAGGGCCTCCATGTTGAAGCGGTACAGTGGTCAGCTATGCATAAGCTACGGAGTGCGTGAAATATAATTTTCCTTTAACTATAGAATTGTCACCCTGTACTTGAGCACTTTCGAAAGACTTGTTTGGAAAGGGTCCTAAAGCAGTTCTTTCGGACGGTACTCGTACGTGACGCAAATGAATGACAATGAATCTTAAGAGGAGATCATGGGAATAAAGGGGAAGTTAGTGGCTATTTTCCCGGCCAGCTTCCATAGTTGCAGCTTTGACTGGCTTTATCGTGCTCTTAGGATAATGGAGCTTTACGCTGGTCACTTTCCGTTATTCTGACCTGTACCGGACTTAATTTTGCGGACGGACCTAGTTTGTAGTAACGAGTAAAGGCTTTGTGGCTTACTTAGGCTTAAATTCGTTTAACATGATTAGAACCGCAGCATAGACCTTGTGGGTACTTGGAACTAGCTAATCTTGTGTTAGATGAGCACGAATTGAAGAAGTTCTTTTATAGACGGTCTGCATTCGTGCAAAATTGTAATAACGCAAGGCGTTGATAATTTTCATCTACTAAGTTAAATTACTGAGGAAGTAAGGTTACGTGTTCAGTTGGCGTCTATCATAAAAGTCTGCGAAATAAATATTTTTTCTACCACATGTCCTTCGTATCAATATAGCCTTGGCGGGTTTTCAAGCCGCTAATAAGAATAGCTAATGTTATTTTTTGATATTATTATTATGATGATATATTAGTATTATAATTGTGCGGTGACTTTCTTATACTCCATCCTAACAGTAACATACACTTTAACTTGTTTGCCTTTTAAAAAAGAGCATTGAACCATCAAGCTTGTTATTTAGATACATACAAAATAGTTTTAAACAAATGCGGACTGTTTTACATAGAAACACGTATTCTTGAAATAGTATCAAAAACAAGAACTAGGCTATAAAAGTCGTTTCGAAGTTATTCAATTTTGCAAAATTCATGATTTAGATAATTGGCTACAGTCAGCACCGAATGAGACTCTCACAGAGAACTATTACAAAAACAAAGGTACGGGAATGACATAACAAAAAAAAAACTGACGTCGCATCGAAAGCTACGAATGCTATGAAGTACAATGACCTGACATCCGTTTCCCATAGAGTAAATACCGCATTGGCAAATGTAGCCTTTTTGACGTTTACTGAAGGCACTAATATGAAATTACCAAAAGAACTAAATTTTATACCGTCTGGCAATAGAACTATGTATGTACACTGATATCTACCGAGTAAGCGAGAAAATAGTTTGTAAGTTACTTGCACAGTGGCGGGGTGAGTGAGATGCGAACACCAAGTTTTGGGTTCGATTATTAGTAAAAACTTGCGTAATTTCTCGGGATTTTCCTCAGTATATTAGTACAGGGGTCAAGTGGTACTATAATCGTAGAAAACGTATTTAGACTTCACAGAACAAATCAAAGAGATCGAAGAAGGTCACCTTAAAGACAGTGCATCTGGTACTGCGACAACTTGCCTAGTGCGACTTTGTGGCACCGAACATATGCTTATATTTATTGAGACATTGCTATGATGTTAGAGCTTATTCTTCCCACTTAAAGCAAAATGATGGACATTGACATAATGAAAAGCCTAGTTTGAAAAGGAATAGTAGGATAGTAAAAAAAGGAGAGATATCTCCTATGTTAGGAAAAATAGAACCACATGTCAACAATACTGGAAGTACGCACGGAGGTTGCAAGGTACTTACGAGGTGTAGTGCATGCCGAAAGTTCTAAGACGTTTTGGACCGAAGGTCGGCCAAGGACTAAAATTTTCACGTGGATGATTACTTTAGTGCCGTAGATTTATTAACAGCCATTGTCACACAACTGGAGATGGCGTAAATCCTATGATTTTCTACGTCGCCGATGACGAGTCTGCGTTAAGAAGCGAGATAGGGACTGAAGGAATCCTTTAAGCTTCGGCCGCGTGGACAGGTACGGCACGTAATCAAGTTAAATCATTCGATAACGAAATCATTCGATTATATTACTTAGTTAACCTGGATGCGAAAACAAAAAAAGCATGCAAGAATACTGTCGAGGGAAAGTTTTCGCTGGATTTTACCTTCACGATATATAAAAAAGATACACACAAAAGAGATGAGCAAGCCAAAGGTGTTACGATTATAAAACTCATTTATATACAAAATTAAGAGCACAGGTTTTTAAACATAGGCACAACTTCAATAACAATGTAGAAACAGTTCAAGCTATGACGCTCGTAAGTTCTATGGGCTAAAATTTGTAGAAGTATCTTTGTTGAAATAGCACACGCAACCGTCTTTGTGAGTGTGAGACAACAACAGTCCGACAGGACACAAATGTGGTCGACTAAGGACACTTACCCTACGCATGTGTTTCACTTCTAGTTGGTAGGATAGCGAAGTGACAGGCATAACCTTTATGTGACGAAGTCCATAATTTTGATATTTGATTTATAAAAAAATAAATGCTTGATCTATCTATTTCTGAAGTAAGGCCGCTACGCTTGTTCAATGGTGTCATGCGTTATACTGTGCAGCTTAGTCTGAGCTCTACGTAGCATCGTTACCGTGTGCTGTTGATGCTTGATACGAAAATGTGCCGGGCTTTTCACTGTTAGACTTGTCTGGATCACAGGACGAACACACGCTTATTATATATTGATGTTATTTGCGCATAGTAGTTCTACCATGTTCCCTGCCAGATAGTGTTCCTCGTAGGTGTAAATAACAGCCGTAGAAATCAGGCTTGTATTAAAGCATGGCTGCGGTTTACTCTTAGAACTGTTGTCTTGCGCCTTGTAACAAATGATTTGCCATCTACACACCCATCCTTTAGGCCGGAAGGTTACATGCGTCATATGCAGCACAATAGCAACATTAGATATTAAGATTCATTAAACTGTTGTTTACAGTTTTCCCAAACGCGTCAAACTACTGATCTCTGCCCTGTGATAAAAAACTCAGTAAATAGTAACATCATTTCCTCTGATGTATATGCTATAGTATGAATGCGTTTTTGCTATGTATGGCATCTACGTACTAATTATATGGCAATATTGGCAACATAGGCGTACATGAAGAAGTAACTTACATGAGGCAAGTTCAATGTAGCACTCCTGCGTATCCAGTGGGTAGCTTGTGAGATCCATCATACACGAGAAACGTAGTTTTAATCTGAAAGTTTGTTAACTTCAATAAGTAATTCAATAATACCATATATAGGGTCAGTTCAAACACAGATCGGGTCAAGTCGGCTCCGGTAACATCCGCGGTTTCAAATGATGTTTGTTTCAATAAACAGATACGCTGACGCTTCAATGGCAGCTTAAGGGAGTTTACGTGTAGCAGACCTTTCTATTAGATTCTAGTCTGCCGATTCGAATAATGCGTAATCAAGTTTGAGGAAAACTAAGTGGTATGTGGGTCTAAGATAGCATTTACGATAGAACACACGTGGTATAACCCGGACATAATTAGCCGATTTATCGTCTTAATTCTATGTATTCTTTTATAACAGCTCTACAGAGTCGATACATACTTCTAATAGAACAACTACTTGCACATTTGTACAGGGAATGCCTTTTTGGTTATAAAGGATTTTGTATAAATGAGGTTCATAGGGGTGAGAACTGAACTAGCGCCTTAAGAATATTTTTTTAAGCTTTAGGTTGCTCTAGGATTTATCTACACGTATATATATATATATATATATATACATATATATACATTAAACTTAAGGAAACTCGGATATTCCAACAGAGGTGTATATACCAAACTAACATGGAGAATCTTATAAAACGTTAAAAAGCGAACAACAATTGATCCAACTTGGGGTACTAAGAAGAAATCGTTCTGTGGCACAAAGCAGCCTGCGACAAGCCGGACTTTCGGCTATTGTCCTGTCAACTACAGTGCCAATCTCAGGAAGATCTCTTCGCAGTTCAGAGATTCCTGTAGAACGTAAGATGCTATTGGTACGTTAATACAATCTAATTTGAAGCACATAGTTACCTGTAACTGCCGCAATATGACCGCTTTTTTAAATCCAATAGCCTATTTGTTTCGGAAAATTTTCCGAAACTTTTAACCTTTTAAATCAGTAAATAAAACTGTTCATCAATAAATCCTTGTAAGAAGATGTTGTTAGGACTTATTACATTAGAACGAGCGCCTGAACTTGCCAAGATAAATTAAGAAAGCAATGTACGCATATTGAAAAACGGTGCTCGTCTGCTTAGTAGTACCCAAAATAAGACATCTCCTGGTCACACGTTCAAAACTCTAACAGCTGTGCTGTCAACCCATCTATCATTAGTCCCACATTGTTCTATGTGCGAATGTATATGTATGTAGAAAAATAGGGTTATATAAGCTCGACCCTCTATAGCATAAAGACCTTATGTGATCATAAGCTTTGGACAGTATAAGCTGTATTTTTTGTCGCTGTCGACCACAAGTATTTTAAACGAATGGTTTTGTTAAGTATGCGTAGCCTTTTTTCAAAGCCCTTTATTTTTAGTCACAAGGTTTACCGCACGATCAACAATCATGTTACCATCATAAATTTACCTTGGGTAAAAATTAAAAAGGTATTGAAAAGCTATATAACCTTGCCGGTACGATTCAACAGAACCTATTAAAGAATGAAACTTTGGCCGCAAATTGATTTAATATCTTTTGTTTTATATTGATGCATTCTCGCTGTGAGGTTATGAAGTCTTATCTATAAGGTTAGAGTATGATATGGCCTTATTCTTACCTCTGCATTGGACACTGCAGGTCTATCTAAGGAGAATAAAGGCCTCTTTTAGTCAGAAAAAAAAGAACAGTTTGAGTTGCTTATTTCCTTTTTTTGCTAGAAGGATACTTAATAACGGAAAGTACAACCGCTTCAAGAAAGGCATCATTATCTTAAACCATTGATAATGGTCAATTGAAGAGGCACCACAAACGATAAAAAAAAATACAAAATCTAGGCCTTCACAGGGTAGGATGTCGATACTTCATCGAACTGATTCTAGGTAGTACTGGAAACTTGGTAACTTGAGCACGACAAAGATTATTTGTCGCACACTTATGAGCATTTCGCAGCTTCAATAGTAAAATGGCATTGAAGAAAATAACATTGATGAAACTGGTGTCCGCTTACTACAATGCTATGGTGGTACGACGTTGTTTGGGGAACTCCACCCACCTTTGAATATATCGTAGGGTTTACCATAATAGGCACCTGTACATAATGGTCAAGTTAATAACAATGATTTAGAGACTAAAATAGTAGAGCTTGAAATGGCTAATAGATTTTAGCACTCTTTTTGATACGCTAGAAGCAGTTCTGCTGCTGACGTACCTGAGAACGTAAAGGACGCGTCCTTTGGGGCCGATGCGGAGCAAAACGTTTGGTACTGCAACGTAATGAAACTCTCCTGAAAACAAATCCAAATGATGATTACTTAAATAAAATCCCCTTGTACATACGAAAATCGAGCTGGTCGACTTGTAAACCTGGCTTTATAACAATATTATTAAGATTAGCCTGATAAAAATCTATGTTTTCTAGTCATTTTAGACCTTTTCATCAGTGAAGCAAGGTGCAGATGTAGCTAAATTCTTTCAATCAATCCCTAAATTTTTTAATCGATTAAGTGTCTGCAAAGAGATGCGTTTCATCACTGTGAATTTATATGTATTGAATATTATTCTAATATTATTACTAATGTTATTAGAAGCACAGGTATACCTGTGCTCCTATGGGTTAAAAGCACCGGTCATATTGACACAGCAGAACTATAATGCAGTTGGATAATTAAATATGTTTGATCTAATTTCCAGCTTAATTGAGGAAATTTGCATAGAACCTGATTACAAATAAATGAAGAATATACCTCCAACGGCAATTGTAGCTTAATATGAAACTATTAGTAACAGGTTCTACTAGATGAACCGGTGCTCCTGTCCTGCATTGGCTAATTCACCCAACCTAAAACCTTCAATTAGGTGAACAAAAATTATAGGTTGAACATGCATAGCAGTTATCGCGTTGCAATCACCTTGGCCAAGCCAGTTTTTTTCCATTAGCCTGTTCTCATCTGTTCGCATTTCATACATTTCTATAACATGACTACGGGGCCTCTGGAATGATTGTTGTGTCGGGGTGCATATGGATGGGCCAACCTCTTAGGAACATACATGAATCAAGTAATCTTCGCGATCTTCACGTAAGACATCGCGATTAATAGGGTCAATGATCTATTAATTTTACGCCTGGGGTGTTAGCGCAAGCTGAAGTTAAAAATAGGGAAAACTGCTTTTTTCCTCGATTATATCAAATAAAGCTTGAATCTGTTTCCACACCGTCGCTAGAGCTTGTAGGCTTTTTACTGTTGTTCTTTTCATAATACATAGTTACGTATTCCACTAAATAATGATAAAATAAATACTTCGACAGACATTTGATGTGTATGTTTTGCTTGGTGTATTGATTCTAAGCTCAGGACGTCACCGAGGTTCAAAGGTTTTTTAACTTTTATTTTTTGTATTATGCAGTTGCAAATGTGGATTTTGTTTGACGCATTGGCTTTGTTCTTGAGACGCCATCAATTTTTATTTAAAACTTTAACAATAAAGACACAAATACTTGATATATCTCGGGCATAATGATTCTGTTTCTGGGACGTTATCAAAACCTAAGGATTTTTTTTTAAACATTTGTTAATAATACATACTTACATATATTTTGTTAACACCCAGCTATGAAATGGCTTTTGAGACAATGCTTTTCACGAAAACCAACTCCAAATTACCCGTTTGAGCTTTTCAATTGGTAGTTATTAAAAACTTGCTCAACAAACTTAACGAAAACGGATTGAAACGTATTATTACATAGATAAACCGAGACCATAAAGTTTTCGCCGTCTTCACTCAAGAAGTGCCCATTTTAGGTACAGAAACATGTATTGCATTTCATTCAGTTTGTCAGAATCTACTGACTGATGTTACAAATCATTCCCGTATAAAACACTATGTTAAATTATCACTCCCTAGACGGTATGCTTAGTTCAGAAACTGAAATTTAGACATACGGACATGCTATTGGCGGTTTTACTGAACTCATCAAGTTTTATCGACCATGATTAATATCCAGCTTTAAAATATTTGCTCTTCTTTACTTGACGGCTAACATCTGTGCATAGGAGCATATATAACTTTTCGACTCATTCCATCAAAGCTACCATCTAGTCAAGAGAAGACATTTTTCTTCACACAATCCTTCTAACATTTAGCCTGTCTTAGCCCCTAGAGCTTTCTCATAGACATATATAAGAGATTCTATCAGTGACTTCCCAAATGAACTGAATTAGCATCACGCTTCCTATAGTAAAACTAAATTACCCTTCAAAAAAAGTACTCACACGCTTTAAAAAATAAACTGAGATGGTTCATACGTCATCAAATGTGAATCATTTAGGCTAAAATCATCATTTTTCGACTATATCGTAAACATTTCTCGCCAAATTCTATGCTGTACTCATACTGTAGAGCTTGAAAAAACGAACAACCTTACAGCCTTCGACAAATTCCCAATATTCCCAGATATTTATCAGACTGTGATAAATGATGATTACGCTCAAACTAACGTTACGCTTTATGAATCCTTACCCTTTAGGAAAAAATGCGTCTTGCGTGCCGATCTCACCAGGTTAAATCTCTTCCGATCCAGATATAATAAGTCTGATTACGTTTGGAGTAAGACAAACCCACTTCCTAAGACTTTCAGACGGTCCTGTGGGCTTCACCCTGCACCTGTTCTGTCATTGATATAATTAATTTAGCTTACTTATACTCAGTCCTAACGTCAACTATAAGATACGTATTGCCTAAGCCGTTATTCTTTTGCTGCTCTTTTATCAGCCTGTTCGAATATGTTTAACAAAAGTCTAAATTTGCCTCGGTGATAATATGTTGACTTTTGGTGCATTTCTACGACGTGATCACTGGGCATTTGTATTATTGGCTGATTCTGTTTTCGGGACGCGGATGAATGGGGCCGGTCGTTGATCAACATCTGAGGAACAAACGGGATGTAAGTTCTAATATATATCGCGATTGACTGAATCGGCTGATCTGCTAATTATGTTCCTACGACGTAACCAAGCCCTAAGGTAGTTTTTGTTTACACAGACAAGATCCAATGAAAGTTGACTGTTTTCGGGATGTCCCTTGGGCCTGACGGTCTCCTTCATCTTTCCTTTTTTTAAATCTTTTTCTACCTTTCTGATTTTCTAGTAATAGATATATACATGTATTACATTGAATGAAGACGCAGATATCTGGTATGTCTCCGTTGGCATATTCATTTTGTTTCGGGAAGCTCACTTAAACTTTACAATTTTTTTAAATCTTTTGTTGTATTTTTGTAATTTTGGCAGTCTTTTTCCGAAAATTAATTAGGAAAATTAATTCTATATCTGCCGCTTTAGCTTTCCAATTTAGATTTGTTGGAAATTTGCTCAAAGATGACTTGAAATCGTTTTTCGCTCTATTTTTACGAACCGATACGGCCAGCAGGGTTTTTCAACAATTTCACTCAAAAACATCGATTGTAGATCCGACTCGTCGAAATTTATCGAGTGGTGTTAAAAAAAACTCCAAAGCTTACAAAGAATATTTTCAAGTGAAAATTATTGCATTTCAGTCCAGCTCATGGAGAGCTCTCAGTTAACACTGACAAAACCTCTGTACCTAAATATCAATGTAAACAATTTTGTCCCATTGTAATCTTAGCAAGAGGGTCACTATTCGGTTTTTGGCTTTTTCCATGCAGAAACATTCACTATAACTGTGGGGAGATGTTTAATCCGCTCGTCTATCGATTGGTGCAATGAATTAATGTAGAGCAACACTTTAAGTAAAAAAAATGTTTTCCATATTTTCGAAAAAAAGTACTCAACTAAAATGTTCGCCATATTAGCCGTAACAACTTCCCAGTTTATACTTATCATTCAAAAATACCTCGGAATACAATTTCACCCCGGTGTCACATGGGCGCGATGAACAGATATAGAGATATGTGCCATATTTTCATTAAGCTCATCTAGATCTAGCTGTTGAAAGGCTCATTTCAACGTTTTTGCCAATTCAGACATTCATTCAATTAACGTTGAAATAAGTCTATGCGCGGATAAGTTATTTGAATTAAAACACTAATAATGTCTAATGAGTGGTCTTCGATTCAGCAAAGATGGGCGGTTCTTTGAATGTCCGAGTGGAGAACGACAACTAGCGCCATCATATCAATAAACATTGCAGTGTCCACCGAGTATTGAATGACTCGATAAGTTTCCGACGTAGAATAAGAAGCAATAATACTTTTTTAGCTAACTAATCACGGTGTAGATTTTTAGCTACTTCAATATATACCATAATATACTTTTCGTTAGACTGGTAGGGCACTTTGACAGAAGATATATATGGTTGATGAAGCATACATTGGAATTGAAAAACCGAGCGGCAAGGAATGTACCGTCTTCTAGAACACCACATATATCATAAAAGGCCTGCTTCATGTTGGTTCTATGCAAGTTCGTCATGGACAAATGATTTTTCATATCTTTGCTGTCGACGTAAGCTTCATGACTGAACCGTCGCAAAGCGGCATTATTTGGACTCGCTATTTATTTTTGCAGCAGATTGGGATGTCAATTCTGAAAATGCCTAATCAGACGATTCCTGTTATAAGCATGATGTCTTAGGCAAGCAAAGCCAAGCCTGAATTTGTTAGACAAACGATCTTTATTTTTTTATTTATACCTCCATTGTCAATAGTCTATGCCCAAGTCATCGTCGTTAATAACATGTCGCCATTATCCATAATTATCTTAAATGTTTGAATAGAAGCCGAGGTAAGTTCACTGATCCGCCTATCCCAAGGACGTTCTACCGGAACCTAAAGATAAGCATCACCCGCTTAGTGCACTTTTAACCTGTTTTTTCCTTGGTCCTTCAGTTTGTACCCAAATCATAGTAAAAGGCTATTTATTTACTTAATTATGGCAGTCAGAGATCAGTATGCTATCGCAAATATGTCTAAGACAAAAAAATAACGAAGGGCAAACCAATATCTCATGATCATATGGTATTGCTAAAAACTGATAGAAATAGCTCGATGTTCACCATGGTGAAATTTTGCTTTGATCGAAGGAGCAGATGCATCATTGTGGCGTCTGCGTATTACCACAACAATATCGCATACATTGCGTACATAACCCAATTAGCTTCGTTTCTACGATATTGTTTCAGATAACATCCCCTATTTTCACACTACATTGCAATACACATTACAGCATGAAGGGTGCAATTATATTATCCACCCGTCAAGTTATGTCCTCATCCAATCAACTGTAGCCTGTAGCAATCAACTGTAGCTGTAACTTGAAAACTTTCAGACACATAATCTATAAATTCGGAAATCGACAGCTAACTCAGTGATGCAGTCAAGCCGATAAACACCTCGCTGATTTGCGCAGACATGCAGGCTGGTTTACATGCGATAACTAATGGAAGCGTATTCATTCCCGTCCAGCTTAAAACGCGCATGCAACACAGATGCATTGGACCGTTTTGGGGCCGCAAACCATGTCTACGGGCAGTGGCCTACTACCCTTAGTGACGAGTCAGCGTACGGAACAAAGTTTTGTTGGTCCGATGGCAAAAAAGCTTTTCTAGAGCCAGCGGAAGTCGGCTGACTTAAGAATAGAGAAAATGAACACAACGATTAATTGACCATTCGAATCTACAACGCCTCTGGAGCCCGTGGAGAGCTTTTCCGCTTTTTTTTTTTTTTTTTTGAGAGCTTTTCCGATCGGAAGGTCATGACCTGCCGACTATGCTTGGTCTGGAGAATAAAACAAACTTCGTAAATTTTAAGGTTGGCTCTACAGCTGAAGGCGGTAGCGGCGAGGGCGCCGCGGACCTAAACCGGAGCTGTATATTATTTGTTCTTCAGCAAGATGGAACACTGGTTACATCGTACGTATATCGGTTTAAGTCAGGAATGGTTGTAGGGAGCAGATATTTTTCTGTTTAGGCGGCAAACACGTAACGAACAATAAATACTAATTATTTTAGATTTATAATAATTGTCACTAATAATGTTGAGACAATTTGAAAAATACCAGAGAAATAAGTGGTTTTGACATATCATTAAGACCTTCAGTGCGTCAACAGAGACATGTTTGAGTTACGGTTACAACATTCGCTATGAGCGCAGATAACTTCGGCAAGGCTTCATAGTGTATATCGGTTATAGCTATGTACACATATGAGGTTAAAAAGTCACGCTGTATTTCGATAGCAGCTAATTACTTAGAACGCCGTGCAGGCTGTCCTAAACGATAACCAAGTGTTCTTATAAATGCAGGTTTAATGTCTTTGCAGGATCAAACAGAGCTACACTGAGATCTCATACTTTTTGGCTGATCTCTTCCTCCCTTCGCAACGACATAGCTCTTATGTGTTGACAACTCTGGTGTCTTCCTAACGTACATCTAGAAGCGTATATATATATATATATATTATGACAGCATTGTTGCAAGTGAATTTTTGTGCCGTATTTTATTCGATTACGCTCGTCACTGATACATCGTCGAATTGTAAACCCGGCTACGTAATCGGACCAGTCTATGACGACGGTCGACAAAAAAGAACTTTCTTGCCACGTCGTCTTTTAGCACTTAGATCCGATTGTAATTGTATGCAATTGTATGTAATTAAATGTTATTTTTTTTTATGAACTTGAGACGCTAACCATAGACAAATCATCCCTTTGTGCAATGCTCACTGCTTCCAGACAATGCGAACATTATATCATTAGTACTACGCTTATCTATGCATACGGGTCTGTCTGCGTACGTGTAGATATAGAGTCACCTACCTTGTTTAGCGTTCGGGAAGTAAGTGTCTGGTTTCCAAACCGCTTTAATAATGTCGGCGTCGTTGAGGTCAAGATGGAAGTTGTTGTGGTCCTGGATCGGCAACAAAACATAAAGTACACACACATTTAGCTAGATAGGTAGTTATCATAGGTAACGTGAAATTGTACTTCGTGATGGAACCAACTGAGTGGGAGACATGTTTAGTGAGTTATTGACTCGATCAGCTCATTTAATGGGCTTAACGATCGTTTTGAAGTCGATGCCTGGTAAATAAAATTGAAACATTGCTACATACGAAACTGAAGTTCGACAACATACTAAGGCCTAAGTTCTTCTAATTCGAGCGTGCGTATTTGCAATTCAATATTCCATCTATAGTTAAAGTAATATAAAGCTTACAAACTGAAGTCGTTAGACCTAAGGAATTCATGAACTGAATATCTTCAATGGACATACGTGAAGCTGGATTAGTTTGTTTACTCGTATGAATGTACATCTCGCACAAAAGTCCATCGCCTGTCCGATATATTTCCTATCACTCAGCTCCGTTTTATCAGGCTGTCCGTTACGATACGAAACAGTACATTGTGAAGTTGTAATTTATTTACTCGACAGATCTATTCAGTTCTAACGTAAATCAGAAAAAGTGGCCGACAATGTTAACGTAAGTGTGCTATTTTATCTAGAAATCAAAATGATCCATGTGGAATCAGAGTGATCTAGCTGATGAATGAACTAATACAGATGATTTTCTGTATGAATTATCTGTTCCAGCAGTGATTCAAAATTAAATCCTCTAGCACACCATAATCGAGCTAAGATGGCCAATTCCATATTCTAGATTATAATCGTACTTCTAGTAGAATTCAACTCATCCGTGACACAGATACATGTAAAACGGCCGTAAGCGCTACTAATTGACAACAATTGTATATTAAACAAAGCGATATCGAGGTAAATTTGTCATTGCTACCCTGTCGAGAGTACACGCGTTAGCTGCACGAACAAATTTACTAGGTATCATACGCCGATTGGAAATGAAGGATTTAAATTGACAACGACCACAAAGCAGTCGTTCTTACTGGCCGTACGTGCTAATATATTATGAAAGGAATTATGTCCATGCTAAGCTTTACTTACATCCGACTTACTCTGTTCCGTAATATAGATAATACCATTAAAACAACGATCAATTGTTCGCTTGTTGTACCCGACAGTTCCGAAAAACGTATGCGGTGTCTGTGAGCACGTCTAAGAGTATTCTCCCCCCTTCCCTTCTCCCCACCGTCTTACGTGCGGTAGTTGTCCTCTGTGGAACCGAAAATCGTCCCAGCTTTGACGAAGATACAGTTCTGCATCGTAGTCCTGTAAAACAGAACAAACTAAGCATCGGTAATTGCACATACGATATCAATGACGATGATGCAATGTATTAATTTGAAGATGAGTGATAAAACTATGGGCAAGATTGTGAAAGATCGAAAACATCAACGAGCTGGATTACCCAAAAAAAGGCACGGGAAAGAAGTAACGAAAAATCACCTTGGCATCAACAAATCAGACGTTCCTTGCATCTAAAAATGTTGTAAACATTCCGACTTGCTATCAATGGGGATGCTCTAGACAGTACAAAATAATTTTTCGAATAATACCTTAAACTAAAGCCAAAGTATTGCACGATCACAATACAACGGAAGACTGTTTAAGACCTTATTTAAATTGAATGGCATGACCAATCAATCGATCTACTATATCGATAACTACAGTATATCTACCTGCTACACCGAAAAATCATATAAGTTTATCAAGAGTTAACTACGGTGCACCATTTCAAACAAACGACTGATTGAACCATCCGTTTTTAATGGTACATTGGTTGTTACAACTAATTGAATTCACTGAAGACGTCTATTTTACCATGCATTCGGCGGGACTTTAGTGAAGATGGCAGATCTTATTATCAGCAGCACATTATTGTCGCCTATGTAAGATATATGTCTTCTTGAAACAGATCAGTTAGACGAAGAGGTCGCATAGAATGTTCATTCCGCAGACCCAGAATACATGTTTTCCAGAGACATCTTGAATGTAGCATATATGGCAAAAAAAAAAGGAAAACCTGCAGTTCAATAAAAATGCGTTATAACATAAAACTAAGCATTTGTAGAAGTCAGCAAACTGTACAGCTAAGCCGTTATCAGCAGTAAGAAGGATAACCATTTTGAACATTTGCAGTAAAAAAATTATATATTTTCAGTCTAATCTATCTATATATCAATTAATAACCGAAAATTATAAAAATTCGAATTGTGTGCCATTTTCTAGGTACTTTCTACCTACGATATATGTATGTATGTATATAGGGTGGGGCCTATTATGATTCGGAAAAATTTTCGCGGGCTATTCACCGTACACTGATTTAGTGGGGCGAAAAACAGTGAAAACAGCTACCTTGAAGTTTGAGCGAAGCTCAGCTCTTATTGGATATACTCTCGAGGGGACGAATCCATACCAAAATCATACATTTTTTTGCCCGGAATTAATAGTCCACGTTGTTGCCAGTTTTCACGTGATTTCTGGAAAATTCTCGAGAGATATCCAGGAGGCAAGCCGGATCGTCGTTAATAAACTCTATATTTAAAAAGCTCAAAAATTAATCAAGATAGCCCAAAAAATCAATTGTCATACATCTAAATATTTAATATAAAAGCTAGACGCCGTTTTGAAGCGTTGTCCAAAAAAGCGTTTTTTTTTTTTAAACTCTCTGCGTTTTTCACAGCTATTGTACTTTTTTATCGTCCTAAATTCTCGTATTTCTGGAACATTTGACCTACGCTAAAGCCAATGTATTTTGTATGTAGCATACTTAAGGGAGAGGAATTAATTTACATTTACGAGTATAGCTTGATGCACGGTCACTGTTGAAGTGCCGAGTAGAGAAGTTATACTTTGTAGATGATTATTGTGTTTTTGTTGTATATACTGTTTGAAATTAGAAACGTAATGAATAGGTAAAAATGTCCTTGAAATATCTATCTTCCTTTAAACACAGTTATAGAAATAATAATAAGTACCTCGTCCTATATATATTTTTTTTAGTTTTCATCTGTGAAATTCCCCAAATAACATCCATCACGAGTGGCAATTAAGCCTATTTTAAGATCGAACAAACTAAAGCGATCTGATTGCCCCTGAGGCTTCCTACATCTGTTAGTAATACGCGGGGCAAAACTTTTGAAACATTGACAGAAACGAATCCTTATAGGAGTGAGTAGCAAAAAGACTATATAGAATATAACCAGCTTTGAGTACCTGATTTTGTCTTTGCATGCTCACTCGTTCATTTTATTCATCGACTTCTAAACGGTCGAATTAAATGTCTGTTCAGTTCCTTGACGACGCGATCTGAGAAGCAGACCAAAAAGGCTTACAAAGGTCATTCCTGTGGAAGGAAGGTGCAAGGCCAAGAATAAGCTATCAAATGATAAAAAGGCGAAGTTTGTAATTTATCAAAAGAAATATTAGATTGAATAGAAAACAGGAAGCCAGTTAGGTTAATTGAGAACATGATGCCTGTTAGCAAGTTGTATAAAAAATGTATATATATATATATGTATATATATATACATTTTTACATCATGCATTTATATTTACAGATTTTACAGTATAATCTGTAAATATAAATGTCTAATAGCTTGACCGAAGCAGGTCGTCACAATAATAAATAATATATTTTGTTGATAATCTACACTCATTGGAAGGCATGAAGTACTACATTGTTATAATAAAAAGCAGTAGCTTAGATATATGCGTTTACTTGGTGACAAAAACAGTGAAGTTATGATACCAACGCTTTCCAGTCCTTTCATAAATGAAGAATAGAAACGTATATCCTCACAGTCCATTCACGCCAGTCAAGGCTGATTCAGTAAAAAGAGATTTAATCGGATTAACCGAGAACAAAGTACAATAGCGTCATAGCTAACAGAATTACGGCAGAACACATTTTAATTTGATCTTCTTAAGAAATGTCCCGCGTTAGACCCAAAAGGCCTTCTTTCTGAAAAGAGAGCAAAATCCCTAGATGTTTGAACCTATACTAAAAGAAAACTAGATATGCCGTGAAGAAAACTTTATACGAAAATAGGTTTGTCAGCTGTGATCAACAATCACTAACTTTGTGGTATTGGCCGACAAGAGAACATCAAAGGGTAGATGCAAAAAGGGTAGAGAACCAAAGCTAAATACCGTACGGTACACACTGCCTAAATACCGTAAGCGCAAATGCCGAAAGCTCTCGGTCATTAGCACAAAGGCAGGGCAGTAATCTATAGGACATATTGTACATCACAAAGCTTTCGGAAAGTTATCTGCCATAAGACTCTAGAATACCTAAGGACAATGTTGTAAAGAACTAGTCACCATAGCTTACAGCAGTCGAACTTTCATGCAGTCTGTACAATATTTTCCAACTTCAAAACTTTCAAAAGATACTGGTATGCTATTCGGCATACAGTATAAAGGACAATAGCCAGTAATAGATTTTTATTAAGTTTCTGCAAACTTGAACATGCGGAAACGAAGCTAATCAAAAAAACTATTGCCATAAACACCAACCTATGTACAACAGAGTGATCGCCTAATTTCGAACGAAAGGACAATGCTTAACTCCGCCTAGGCTGTTTCCATCTAACGACCTACAAGCTTCCTGTGAAAAGTGCTATTCATGAGTATTCCCCCACTTCAATCTTGAAGGAGACTGCTGTTTATTTCAACACAATATCGCATAAAAACGTTGACGTGCTTCACATGATCATATGGCATTATGTTATTTGAGATAGTTTCATTTCCTTTTTCTTTCGATTCCATTTGTAAGCACAAGCGTGAGCTTTTTCCCAAAGTACCTAGTCGCTCTAAAAAGAAGATTCGATTACACAAGCATTTCTATTTGACTGGTATGGGCTTCGTGTGTAAGCAATCAAGTGCTTCGTAACAAAAGCCCGATGCTGCTTTTCAGGGAATTATGATGTCATATAATGCCCCTGACCGCGCCATCCTGCCTATACTCGCACCTCGTTTGAAGTTCCAGATTCCACGCCAACTCTGAGTGGCTTTGTGCATCAAAGCATGCACATATTGATAAAGAAGCTCCATAACTTTTCACAACTGTGAGAATCTCTAGGCTATCCATGGGGTAGTATATAATAAGGTTAATACAGAACTTAAATTCAATGCCGAAAATGGTCCACTGATTCAGTATATAAACTTGCGACATTACAAATGATTTTGTCTAACCATTACCTTTTTTGTATGCGTTAAGGTGAAGACGATCTGCTAGCTCTCGTGAATAAGTCTCTTTTCCTAAATTGTCTATACGCCGATAACTTTGCCCAACGAATTCTGCCCGTCTTAATGCTGATAAGGTATAGTAGCTATCCTTATATGGAAATGTTATTATTGGCTTATTGAAAATCCGCGATTTTTCTATGTGCAAACAAGCGCTCGTTATGGTATAGCTAACAAGAAAATCGTGTCTTTTATCAGCCGCTAGTTGTTCTGGGATTGTTGTCTAATGATCCAGATGGCCAGAACAACAGGACTGCAAGCTCGAAATAGTTTTTTTTCAGCTTGGGCTGCACCTATCATCCCGCACAGTAGCCCGCACAGCAATTCACGTACCACGTGATATATATAGAGACGGTGAATGTACACAGATTTTTTCAATGTACCTATATCTGTCAAACAACAATTCTTTATAACGACATGTAAAAGCTACGGCATATCAAAGCGGTTAACGATGGCTATTGTTTAGATATACTAAATATTGAAGAGGCACTGTCATAGTTGCTGTCGATACGCATCAATCGCCATGGAAAAACTGTCGCATGCCATAGACTCTGGTATTACAAAATTGTACCAGTAATTCAAAATAGGGTTGTAAAGGAAAGGAGATACAGGGTAGGGTTATAGTGAAAAATTGAGTAGGCAAACCTTTACGAGAGTACTGTGACAAATAAAACACCCGGCTGCGTCTTTTGCCTCCACCGCTACATGTCATGCAGACGCTCCTCTGCGTCACATTGGCAAAAGCCTCGCCCGAAACGATGCTCAAACGGTAGAAAACGCGAAAACAGTTCACGCTTTTTGAAGTGTCTCGTTGCGGCGGAAAACCATTTAAAAAGTTTGTATGGCCTCACGCTTCAACGGGTAATGGTATACCAATACTATCGGATTGTGTAATCATTATTTGAAATTGTTCTTTTAATTACACAATTTTTAAAGTGAATCTAGCCGAATCGTACGTAAAACCGAGCTAGCTACATGCTATCTGCAATATTATTAAAAGTAATTTCATCCTTTGTTGCTAATATTGAAGCCGATAATGGACCCATTGTCCGCGACTACAAAGCATTTTAGTTCTTCGCGTATTCGAGCAATACGTTCCGGTAGTTGAAAAACAGACTCTCGCTTGTGGACGCGTTAAGCAAAAGCTGCTGGAACGAATTGAAGCCTTTGTCTACGAGAAAGTCTACCTTATTCATGACTATCGGGCCATGTGCTCGAACGGATTGCGGCTGCCTACCACCTGTTTGAATGTGGTTTCGTCGAACGTATAATACCATTTCCCGCGATCTAAAACTGATTTGTTGCATCCCTGATCACGATCGAGTCGCAGATCTTGATAGAGCGCTGTAAAATTTCGAGCGTCCCAATACACACTGGACCTGTATTAGTACAGTGGTCTAGGGTCGCCAAAGCATAGGTGGTCTGAAAGCTTGAGATTCTCAGCGGGCCCTTGAGATATAGGCCCATCTTCTGGAGAGGTTTTTCGGAATGAACGCTGGATAAAGCGTATAGAGCCTTTCTAGGTCCCGGTTCTATGATTGGCAAGCCTTCGTACCAAAAACAAGGGAGCCAAAGGCGTTGAGCGTAGTACATGCCTTAGCTGCGCCTCGGTCGCCTGCGGCTATGCGTCTGCCGCATAGTAGCCGCAGGTTGACACATTATCGCAATCCACAACAGACGTAGAACACTACTGTGTATTAGTCTTATCTTGTTTTTCACGCCTGAACATGTACCGTAACATACTTCCTAGGACTTATGCGGCATCAGACAGCACATTATATACTAATAAGAGCTGTTCGCCTGCAAGATATGATATTAACACTTGTTGCACGCATTCTAATGATGTGTACGTCTGTTAAGAGCAAAAAGTCAGATGACAGCCCTTGTTTTGAACTTTTCTAGCTTTTAACAGTAATTTAAGATGGGTCTTCAACGGATCACATATTATATAGACAGACCGGTGTCCTAAATGCGGACTGCATTTAGGACACGCCGGTCGATACGCTCCGATGCATCAAAAATTCAGCATAGAGAATAAGCTTAATTTCTCTCTATTAAGGGAAAATTACCTTTGCGATAAAAACGGGTTCGCTACGGGCGAATTGTAGATTACGTAATAGTGTCCCCCTATTGAGTACTTCGATATTTGTAATTTCAGTTTAAACTTTCTTCGCGTATTGACGTTGTGTATTATAAACATGCACACGTTTATGTACATTCGCACGTAATCAAATGCACGTGTTGGTTGTATAAGGTGAATGAATCAAACTACATAGTCTAGAAAGATGTAGTCTGATGGATGGTGTTGACAATCTGCGTCTAAAAATAGCAGACATCGCGCCTTATACATTCGGGTAGCTTCCTTCCATATGTGTTTACGAGCTTTTAAGATTGCTAGCTTTATAATTTGTCACGTCTAGCGAGTTTGAGAAATGACCTGCTTCATGACCTGCATTCATAGTACATGGACTACGTTTCATAGATAGGGTAGTTTCCGTAAGGCAGTAAACTCGTTCGGAATTGTAGGTCTAAGCAATAACTACCAGGTATCTGCCCTTTGCAATCGATTGTAGAGTTAACCTCAGCTTCAGCAAGGAGCCTTAAGCCTAAACAATTCAACGTATCAGTTATATATATCAATATTGAGTCAAGAATATGCAGTTCGTATATAGGTCCTATTCCAAGCGAGAAGAGTGTTCTGGCTTTTGCTGACTAGTTAGTTTAATAGATTATGCTATTCAAATCGATCCATCTAAAACACTTATAACGTGTCCACGTAACATTGGTATATAAAAAAAAAAAAAAAAAAACCAATGACTATTTAGAACCTTTAATTTCTTCACAGGATGGTCCATTTCGATCATTGTAATATTCATTATATTGTTCTCCATCTGTACATTCTTTCAAAACAAAATACTACCAAAAAAGAGGGAGTAATTAGCTTTTACATACGAAAAATTTCAACGGAATCACATGGGATTAATCCAACTAATTTGATTGAAATATGGTTTTGGGTCTTCATATTTGATTTCTTTGGTAGATTCACATAGAAAATTCTGAGAAAGATCTCAGCTGCTTCCTATTGGAAAAACTTATCTGTTGGATAGACTGTCTAATCCAACGGTATAACGATGTTACATTTCTGCTACTGGAATAAACCAGAAGACATCGGCTTCATCAAACGTCGAGGAAAATACTGTTACACAAACTGCACCCACGTTCGGTATTACTAAATAGCCTTCACGTACACCACTATATTAATTTATATTCTAAAGGGTCTTTATTAACGAATTCAAACTACAAATGAAAATAGTATATGTATGAAGTGATTTAAATACGGAAAGCATCTTAATTTTGTTCATCAGGTGCGAAACATCTCGCGCTTTAAAAGCACTGTATTAAATCTATCATATCTGTAAGATAGTTTTAATAGTGAAGACGTCCAAAAGTAATATTGCTCGCTCTTAGTTTTCGTTAAAAGTCAGCGTTTAGGTTTATGTATCTCCAGATAAAATTGTTCCCTACCATTTTCGCTTTCAAAAACAGTTCCGCCGAAGACAATCCCGATGACCTCAATTTGAACCCAGCTTTTTTCCATGCGACAGGCGGCACCCCTTCGTGTTAGACCGATCATTGGATTGAACCCATCTTCTGCCCTTCCTTAACCTGATATGGACCTGATGTACATCAGAACGGCTCATTCCTCCTTCGGGGTCAGTTTCTTCATCTTTTTTTAAATCCCTGTACAAAATGATCGAAATAATCGATATTCGGCGATTTTTCCGGAATATGATAGATAAATGTTATCCTTAAGGTCAACAATACTACATAACCACACTGGCAAAAATCTAATAAAATTCAGCTTTTAGGCCAGAGGAGGAAGGATCACGTATCTTAAACTATACTTAGGTAACTTTAGGTCATATCATTGAAAGCAAATCTATTCGGACAAGGTATAAAACTACTATATCAAAGAAGATATGGAAGCTAAGCATTCAAAAGCCGTCTAATGGCCATATACATTTAAGAAATTTTTTTGAAAGGATCAAATACGTTGAGGTGCCATTAAGGAAGAAGTACTTCACTAAAATCTAACATACAATGTGGATCTTTATATATATATATATATATAAGGACAACGATAAAACATGCCGTCAACCGTAAATCATCCAATACAACAAGACATAGAATTTCTCTATCAACTACTACTAATTACCCTATGTAATTCATCTTGTTCTTTCTAGAAATATATATATTCGGGCCAAATAATTTAATTTATTTAACCATTTAGTCACAAAAATGAAAATAGCTATTTTCCCATAAGACCGGACACGGCCTTTTGTGGGCTAACAGATCCTATAAAAACCCGCTCTTGATCAAGGAGCTAGCATGAGCTGATTTCAATATACTAATGGGTCACAGCATTGTTTAGGAACGGTCAGTTCGAAATGTTCATATATATATACCACTTGAAGTAATTCCTGCCGGATGCAATACATCTACGCCATTGTTTTTTCCAGTCCTCAAAAACTTTTTAAATCCGATTGTCGGCATCGCATTTAGCTTGCTAAGCGACTTTTCTCTTATATTTTTTACTACATCGAAACGCTTCCTCATTAGAATCATTTAGGAAATGGCGAGAAATTACAGGAAACTAGGTCCGGCACATATAGGGTCGAGGCGTGTATCGGATGAGCATACGCATCGAGTGCTTTTGCAAAAACTGCCATGCGAGTGGGGAAGCACTGGTCGGGGCATTGTTGTGATAAGGAGGCCAGGACCCGTTGTGTCACAGTTCTGGTTTTTTGCGTTGAACAGATCTGCGTAATTTTTTTAAAGCTCTTGATAGTTTCTTTTCGTCACCGCGAAGCTTTACTGTATGAAGTTATGATAAACAATTACCGAAGGAAATGGCTGGAGCGCGTCCAGATCGTGTAACTTTCTTCGGTGGAAGTTTTTTTTGGAGCCGATACTTGGAAAATGCATCTTGGTCTCCTCATCGTAGCCACATATCCACGTCTGTTTATCCGTAACTGTAAAAAATATCCGTGCTCAAGTGGGGTCGGCCCTTCTAGTGGTGTCGAAAGGTCTTTTCTCATGCAGTTCTCAACAGATGCTTATCTGCTAAATATTCAGCTGTTTAGGCACAAATCCTGCTGTAAGCCTTCTGACACCTCAATGGTCGGACAATGTGGCCTGACGCAAACCATCTGAAATCTCTATCTTTTTTTGCTGGCCTTTTTTATGGCAATTTTACGGTTGACATGAGTGATCCCACTCTTCCCACGTTCTCGTCCGTGATCGCTGTCACAGGCCTTCCAGGATAAGATAATAGGTTTCTGTTGGTCCTCGAAACCATTAAACTACTTATTTACTTGAGCTTTACCGAATTCTGTTTGGTTCTGTAGACATTAGACTTTATTTGTTGCACAAGGACTGATGCACGCTCGTTTCCTTATTCGGAAAAATTGCAAAGGCTCAATACATACAAGACTTACTCAGTACTATCGGAAGACTCGAGACGGTATCAGATAGTTATGAAATTTCGCCTGTGTATAGAACAGCCCCGGCTTTTTTTGCCGGAAAAAACCTATATCACAAGTGATGATTCAACTACGCGAAAATGTAAACGACTGCTCATTTTGGGTTTCATATATATATGTATATATATATATATATATATAGATATATTTGAAACAACTTAATTAATCAAAGGACAAGCTTCTAGGTGTACGAAGTCGCCGGCTTGAGCCTGCCAGGTTTAAGAGAATGAATAAAGTCTTGAGACCCATTTAATAAACGTATCTTATCTCGAGACAAATGAATCCGCTTTTGTTGTAGTCATAATATTATTTGTGCATATATATTGATGCGTACTGTTGGCAGTGTGCAGATCACTAACCATAGTATCGGCATTAACTGCACCAAATGAGCGGATAAGTAACTCGACGTTGACATGTGTTGTGCCACCAGCGAAAGGAAAGTCCGGGTCCAGCTCACGAAGATGGCTCAAAAACTCTCCGGGGGTAACCTGTTTAAGAATCAGACCATAACGTATATGTAGAGATTAGTGTCTTTCTGTAGGCATTTTAGAAGAAACCCCTGCCGAATGAAATTAAATTTTCCCGCTTTAAGATGAGACGTTTCGAGTGTGCTACCTACTTCTGTGCGAACCGATCAATTCATGAGAATATCCTCTAGCGCATGCCGCAGCAGCCCAGCCAACGGTGCTGGAAACTGCTAATATTTTCTGTTTAAACGACAAATATCTTCGATTTTGCTCGCTTTTGTGTCGAGCAAAAGAAGTTCGAGTTCACTGTAATCTGCGGCCTTCAACACAAGTTAAGTATCCAATGAAGTTGTTAAAGATGGCTGACAGCAAAGTATATCGCAGGATCGACAGCGCTACTCGACTACATCGTACGGAGTGCGGCATTTTTTTGCGCGCAATCCTGTATAATGGAAATGTCTAAGGGTATCTGTAGAATGTTGACGCGAAGTGTACTAAGCGTTCGTGTTTCCAAGATCCATCTAGATTTGTAAAGAAATACTTATCGCATGTCCCAACTTCACCCTTAATTCCAATAATGGATGAGATGGAGTATGGCAAAAAGCTTGTGCGGAACCGTTCTGCGTCACTTTGTTTGCAGACCTAATTCAGGCTTTCGCTCACATATGTAGAGACCTATAGGCATATAAGTTGTTTTTACTAGCATCCATTGAGCTTATTGGTGAGGTTTGATCATATGGTATACGAGTAAATTGTCCTTTAAAATATAGATTTTTGTATGAAAAAACATTTCTGAGGTCCGCCTGCCGCGGGAATTGGCGGAAACTATTTACGGAAACGCTACCGTTACGGCGTTTTCGTGAGCAATTCTATTTGCATGAATCCTTTATACATCGTATGAAAAACTTAATGCCGGGAGGATTTAGATTGCACTTAATTTGATTTATTTCAATTCTGATTTGATTGACAATTTCAATCATGAGTTAGCTATATGGTGCCGAATTCGGTTTTCTATAATGTTTTGCTTACCCGCCGATCGTAATCCTCGAGTAGATCATCCAAAAAGCTAACGGCTGAAGGCGATGGATGCGATGAAGGGCTGTAACGACAAAAAGAAATACCGTGTTACAGATTGAATTCGGCCATCGTGTGCCCTTAACCGAGTTTTATTTGAGTATCGAAAAGCTGTAAATCCTACTGGGATCCTGAAATAAGGTTTTCAGGTAAACCACAGTAGCTAAAGCTAGGCAAGTTACGAAACTAGGATCTCGTTGGTCTAGGCCCGTTTGATACAATGCGTTGTCAGACGCTTTATCGTTGGATACCTCCCCGTCGTTGTATAGCGGGCCATAAAACAAGAAATGTTTGGTCCAAATTTCGCCTCACATGCTTTATAGTTATAGTTATAATTGCTACTTTTTCATGCTGACTAATCTTTGAAGGAACATCTTGTCAGGCGTTATCAATACACGAATAATGCGAAATACCAAACTAGATCTCTTATATGACCTTATATTTTCGAATGATTTATCTTTAACCTCATAAAAAGAACTGAGCCTTGTTTGACGCTTGAATTTCACAAAGCCTTCGACACAATTACCTTACCAACATGCATATAGAGCAAGCTTAGCAGGTGTACACATACTATCACTATGACCAACCACTTACATTTCTAAATGTGGCAAAGAGAGAGAGAGAGAGAGAGAGAAAAAACGAACCATTATTAAGTACAAAAGGATTGTTCACCACTAATCCCTTAGCTTTAGAATTATCGAGAAAGCCCCGGTGCTTTTATTCGGATCGAATTCGAAGCGAATCCGGAGAGGATTGCTAACTCGACAAGCGAAACGACACTCTACGCCTTCAGAGACTACCATCACTTCACGTGAAACACCGGACCGATTCGTGCCTTTTACCCATAGTGAACTATGCGCAAAATGCTGTTGGTCTGTGCAAGGCAGCCCCGGCGTTATTTCGGCACTAAAACGTGGACCACTTAACAATGGTGCCTCAAGTTGCTGTTCAGATCCCATTGAGACAAAGCTTTGTTTCGCGTAGCGAGTGTGTTTAAGTACTTGGGAAAAGCTTTAAAGCCAATTTTAAAAACGATAGTGCGTCACTCATGCGTGACTTTTTCTCTTTGATGCTATTTAAAAAGCCCCGAAAACTTACAGCTGAACCAAATTCACAGTACAGCATTGGTAAATGGCTGATTTCATGTTGCTGTAAAGGGTCTTCGTACAACCGTAACGTGACGAGTACTAATTGAAGCTCGTTAACTTAACTTCGCTTGACTTCGTATCGCAGTCGTAACGAACGGTCTTCTGCAGGGTTTTGACAGAAATACTATGTCGGTGCATTGGATATGTAAGAGCAATCAAGTACACAGAATGCTTCGTTCTATAAATACGACGCCAACGTTACCTGCTCACTGTTCGCTTTATCTTTTTCTCCACTTGAACAGTTAAATTTGATAATGTAAACAAAAAGATGCGTGTAAAGAGCAATATTCACAACTGAGAGACAGACAAACGCAGTCCTTTGCAGCTATAACCAGCTGAGTAAACCGATAAAGATACTGGCCGGTGCGAACTGTAATAAGAGAAAGCATACATTGCTGATAGCTTTAAGAGCACCGTTTGGTCTCCTGTTAGATTGCTTCTTTTAGACTGCTTGAAAGTATAATGGCTTGATCGATTGTTATTAAAACTAGCCAGCCTACGAGCGTATATTTTCTAGTTTTTCATCACGCGTAATAACGCGTAATGTGAACATTTAAAGATTAACGGGTTATCCACAAATCGATTGGACCTTGAAATTTTCTTTCACTTATAGAAGTAAACAAATCGATGTCTTTTGGCCTTCACAGTACACTTACTCCTACGGCCTACACAGTAATCTGACCTTTTTTAAGCATTCAACTATGAGGAATAATCAGGTATTTATTTTTGAATTCAATAAGGGATATGACATTGTTGCGGGTTTGCCCGACCGAGCTTGATGGGTTCGTTTTCAATTAAAAAAATGTACATTATTTTTATGGATATCGTTGAAATATCTTTGCAAGTTTAATTTTTACAGAGAGGCCGTATGGAATCATGCGATTCTAAAAGATTCATAGGTTAATGTTTATTAAATCATTACTTACATTAAGCACATAATTGCTTCAGAGTATTTCAACCAGGCAAATAGACCATTAGTTATAAAATACTGTATGATCCGTCAGGTACAAATAAAACTAGCGTAGGCATAACAAATCTTAACATGGGGCAGTAACTAATTTTACTGAACAAATTGTGTGTTATAAGACAATCAGACGTTTATCTAATCAACCGCAAGAAGTTTCGTTCTATTCCAGCTAAATAGCTTTTCTCTATCTTGTCAGGCCGTTCACTATAGACCGCGCACGAGAGTAGACATTTAGGCGCAACTCTATCCTTAACGAGTGATACAGGGGATTTGACATCAGTTGTATAGATCTAGACACGGCGACGCTAAGTTGGTTGTTCGCATTGCGCTCATAATGACCACTGCAGAAAGTATATAGTTTATTAAATACTGCGCTCTACCACCGCTTCGTAACAATATAAAGGCAACTCAGTAAAGGTGCGCGCCCTTTATAAAGATGGTGGTCAAGAGCAACGTTGCCCTACAGAAAAGCCTAGTCACGACGTAACTCACGCATACACACGTCATGTAAATACCGAGCTCGTCATCGCAACATTGTATAGCCCAAATATAATCACAGTGTCTCTATGAAATGTTTTAATTATAACCAAATGCCTCCTAGAACACCGTGAAAGGTTGATTTGTTACGACTGTTAATAGAAATACACGAAAATAGCGAATATCATTAATATGACATGTTGCACGAAGACAATGGGGCTGTTTCACGTCATTAAGAGACTGCTTTATTTATCAGAGGCAAATCACTATGACTTTTTTCGTTGTACTAGGAGACCTCAATTCACTTTCCTAAAGCACTCCACAGTGCTATAACAGTTCCGCTGCTCTGTTGAAGCGTCTGCCCCCTACATTCATAATCGAATCTTCTTATCCAGTAAAAACTTCGGGTAGATGTCTACTAGAGTGTTACGGCTTTGAGACGGCTGTGTGTTAAATGCCATGGCATTGCAAAACAGATTTTGCTAGAAAGATGCCCCTTTCATCGATAAATACAATCTTAAAGTAACAATCAGCAAAATATGATGATTATTAAGGACAAGGACGCAGTGCAAAACACTCAAATGCTATTCCACAGTATACTACTTATCTCTTATGTTATAAATTTCAGAAAAAAATGATAGCACAAAGGATGAACCACAGCTCAAGTGTAAGAGAGCTGCCGTTTAGGTATTTATTTGTCTGAGATTTACAGTCCCGTAATAAGCGCGAATCTGACAAAAAACAAAGAAACTTTTTCGAAACAAAAGCGGTCTGCAGAAATTTTAGCTCTAGCGCTATCGACGGATCACCGTAACTGTTAGTTGCCGCCATCAGCCGTCAACAGCCTCGAATTGAAAACTATACGAGCTTCATCAAAGTCAGCGAGCTTGATGGATTACGCAAGCCACAATCACGGTGGGCATGGTGGCGGTAGGGGTGCAGAAAACCGACTGTAACAAACATTGAACAGGGTGTGCTGCAAAGCCGTGAACTATCCAGAAGCTAGCTGAGTCCCTAAAATAATTTTTTAGAGGATTTCCAAAAACACTCACAGGAACTTTATCCAACGCCTTAAAACAATACCGCTACCCTATGAACTTAGCACTAAACAATATCGTAAGAGTAGAAGCAAAAAGTAAAAATAACTTAGGAAAATAGGGAAAACAGTGTTGTGACAGTAATCAGACGAATTCGTTGCTGATATCGTCGAAGCTATCGGCCTTCTCCATTCCAACGCAGGCAAAACGTGTGCGGTTTCGGAGCCTATGGATATTTGAAATGCTCATACCTCTATTGAACTCATGTGAAGTTGGATTTTGCTTTATTTCTAATTTTTTCGTGTGTTATACACAACTTTCTAGTAGTTTTTTCAAAAAGTAATAACCTTTAGTAGATTTCAATAACTTCCCAAAACTTCGCAGAGCGAGCGTCTCTTTTGCTGTCCTAAGGTCTAGAACAACCTGTGACTAGTGAATCAGCGAGGATATTCCAGATTCTTGCAAAGCAGTGATACGACCTAGATGTAAAACCGTCATACGTTGATGCGTCGCTGATTCACCTAGTCAGCAAGTATTTTTCTTTTATAGTCAGAACATCCGGCTGGGTTAAAGACAGTTCTACATTTCTATTTCCAACATTGACGGCAAAGAGCTTTGGGCTCTCAAACAGGCAGGAGCAGTCTGAAAAACGAAGATATGGCTCAACAGGATTTCGGGTTGAAATTGCTTCAGCTTTCAGATTGCTAGCACATTATACGTAGAAACGTGTTCAATAAGATTGCCTTTTATGCAAAAATGCAGCACTGTCAAAAGAGCTAGGATAATATAGATACATCCAGTATTATTTATAATCATAACCAAGCGTCATGCCACTAAAGAAAGACCATCGATATCTGAGAGATGTGATTCAGCTGAAATTTCTAGAGCAAATTACATGATAGCGTACGTTTTCTTAAAGTTCTTCACGAGGTTGATGCACGCTCTGCGAAGGCGTGGTGTAATATTGACTACTTTTCTAGTCAGATTTATTCGACGATTGGCTAGGGTTAAACACGTGCACAATACGGAAACATATATAAGTCTGCAGTAAACTATAATTCAACTCCTGTTTTTTTGACAAATTTTTCCTAAATGCGATTAGATTGAATGTTTTTCGTAAGCTGATAGTAGTGTTTTGCCTGGCTGTGGTTGACAAATTTTGGAAATCAGCTGAGTATTTATTTAGTGGTCTTTCAATAAATATCATGTTTTTGGGCGGGATAGGAGTTGTTATTGTTTCCTTTTAATAAGCGCTGCTATGGGACAGAACACAACTTTCAGCACTTCATAGAGGTCCTTTTTTAAACAAATAGTACAACATTTTTATCTCACTGGACACCTTCCGAACACACTGAAATAACAGATTAAAATACAGAATAAATATCAGTTTGGTTTT